CAAAGCGGTCTTGATTTGGGTCAAATCTTCTTTTGCACTATTAAAGTTTTCTTGAAGCGAAGTGATTTTTTGGTCTTGTAATTCTATAATACTGTCACGTGACAAAAGGGGTGTTTCATTTGAATTGGAATGATTGGATGGGGTAAGTTGTGATTGTTTAATCGGAATGGGCTTATCTAAGTCCATAAATTGAATGGGTTGTTTGGGTTTGTTTTGTTGATTCGGTACAGAAATGTGATAAATTTGTTCGATGTTTTCCACTCGCATGAAGAGATTCACTTGACCTTGTTGTAGTTCTTTACTGATATTTTTCGTAGCAATGAGATCGTCAGATAAAGTTTTAAATTTTTGTTCCAACTTGGAAAGGCTATCCATAATTCGATTTAGGCCGATTTGGTCTGGTACTGGTGTGTTATTATGTTGAGGAGGTTTGTATTGAACAGGAGTATTTTTGTTTTCAGATTAATTATTGTTGTTTCGAAGGGTATCTGTGTATGAAGGTTTGGACGAACTATTTTCATAAGAATATGAATTCATATTAGAGGGTCTGGACGGATTAAATTTTGGTCGGTATTGGGCAGGTTTGAAACGATCGTATAGAGGTTTGAATGGATTTTGAGTCAAACGCGTGTTATAGTTATATGTTTCGTGATCAGGAGATCCACATTGGATGCAGTGAAAAACTCCTGATGTAACCCAATATAATATGCGGTTTTTAAACTTTTGTTGAGAGTTAAAAGCTGTATCATAGTCATCTTCGTTATCAAAATTAATGTATGCATATGGACGTAATCTATATTGACGATCTCTAGGAATGAAACATGATTTAGCGTTTATGTGTACTAAAAAGTCGGCCAAGTCTAAGTGAGATGTATTGAAGGGAAGTCCTGTGAGCTTCAGTTCAAATTGTTGTCTTAAGGCAGTTTGTAATTCATCGAGATCTGTAGGTTCAACTCTGACTAAAAACTCTAGTAATGATGTTGACCATTTGTTATCATAAAATTCTTTAATTGATTCTGCAGATTCGTATACGATAAATGCTATTTGTCATGGGCCCCTTGTAATCATGGAGAATCTGCAGATCCTTCCAAATTTGTTAAAGCAATTTCTGACGATCTCTGATTTAACGAAGAATGGTATGTCATTAACTTTAATGCAACGTCCTTTTTCGTCATCCTTTCGTTGTTGTTTGGTGTTTGGGTTGATTACTAAAAATATTGGATTGTGTTGTGATTCTTTGACTTTTTCGGTTGCTTGCATTAGGGAGTCAAAAGATTGGAAATAAATGTAGAATTTTCTTTGTTTTGTATTGTAGTACGACCCCTTAAAATCGTTGAAGTGGCTAAATAATTTGTTGATGGTATAACGTTTCTCAGCAATAGTTGAACCATTCACGTCTTTGGAATCTGTAGACGCGTAAAAGCACGTTGGTGACATAATAATCGTAAATTCGTTCGTCTCTGCATTTTCTTTATTATTTTTTTCGGTATCAAAAGTTTGTTCGTAAATATTTTCGTCTGACCACATTGCGTTTTGCTTTCCTTTGTTATTGTTATTATATGGAGGGATATTGTTATTATTTTGTTGCAAAGAGTTAGTTGATTTTTGATTAGCATGCATCGAGTCGTTGGTTGAATTGTTTTGAGTATTGATAGAAGTTGTTGGATCAATATCCATGGTAGATGTATTTGTATCTTCTATGTGTTTTGAAAAGGGTGTTGTTTGAAGTGTTGAGGAACTTATTTCAGTTTCAGGAGAAGGTGAAAGAATAATAGAGTCTATGATGTTTTCGATCGTCAAAGGAGAAACTTCGTTAGAGATTTTTGTTCTTTTGTTTGTAACTGGAGTGTCTACAGAATTTGATTTATTTTTTTGAAGAAGAGATGCTGTTTGTTCTATATTTTTATTATCGTTTGTTATTAAGTTTGTTGGATAAGGTTGGGTCGTTTATAAATTTTTTGGATTTTTCGAATTTTGTTTAGTAATAGGCATGGTGAGAGAGAAAGAGTTTTTTTTTTCTAATGAATCATTAGACGCTGAGATATTCAAGAAAACATGTTAAAAATATTCAATTAAAGCTTCGTAACTGGTATATTTTCGAATACTGGGATTGTACCAAATTGAGTTACACAAGAATCCAAATATAGGCATATGGTTATACAAATTCCTAAAAAGGAAATTTTTAGCTATTAAAAAATCGGAAAATCTCAAAATGAGTTACACAAAATTTCCAAAATAGTAATTTGTGTAACATCAATTCACATGAGTCAACTCAAGTCAACTCAAGTTGAAATGAGTTGAGTCAATTTATTGACTCAACTCGACTAATGATTCGACTCAAGTCAAATGAGTTGGAAAATTTTTGACTCGACTCGACTCAAACTCGAATCAACTCATTTGACTTGTGAGTCAACTCGACTCATTAGAAGCTCTAATTATATATAAAAAGCTACAAGATATTGCATTATTCTATGAACAATAGTCTAGATATTTATACAATAATTATGTTAGAATTTACCCTGCAAGTTTCACCCCTAAACAGGTTAAACATAGAAATAATTTTCGCATTAAATTGATCAATCTATATTCTTACATGATCTCCATGACATTATCCTTGTTACTAAAGCAAAATCATATTACATCCCCAGATCTAATAACTACAAACCTCACCTTTTCACTATTTTTTATTTTCAATCTGAAGAAGAATTGAACGATGCAATTAAAACTCCTTATGCTCTTGATAACCATAAACTTCAATAGTATTCTGCTGAAACAAATGTTATCATAAATGCGGATCTATTGAATATCTTGTTATGAAATTTTCTATAATTGAATAGCATAATAAAGATGAAGATTCTAGTAATAAGAGACTTAGAAACTAATTATCATCTGTCCAAAAATTCTATAATAGATTCAAACCGGTTAGTTCCTGTTTCTTAATTTACAAAAATACCAACCACTATTAAAATGATCGCTCTTACTACTAAAGTAAAAAATAAGGATTCTAATCCTAAATCCTCTTCAGTAAATGATTCTAATCACAATCCTAATAAGAAGGATAGCACCAATGTAAAACTTGATAAAATTCTTAGCATGTTAACTGGTATGCAAAAAGCAATGTCTGATCTAGAAACCTGTATTGCCAAATTAGAATGATTCCAATTATCTCTTCCTTCACCAATTATACCTATCCTAACTCCTAGCATTTTTGAACCTCCCATCACCTCTCATAATGTTTCATCTTCTGGTTCCAACAAACGTACTCGAATCACTTTCTTCTTTTCTGATGAAAACAATGCTTTTACCCCTAAATTAATTGATTCTAAAGTCTAGGCTTATATGGATGAACAAAAAGCTATTATTGCAGAATAATAGTCTCAGATGCAAGAAATGATGACTCACTCATAACCTTGACATCCCAAGCTCAGCAATAATTTTTTCCCTTTCTCTAAATATACAATCATGATTACTACAAATAATAATAATCATATTAATATTAATTATAATATGTCTTCATCCCCTACCATCTTCTTCGTAACATATAATGTCAAATCTCTTTAATGTGAACACAAAAATATTTCAATTTATGACACCTTCTTTCATATGAATACAGATTTTGTTGAATTACAAGAAATATAATACAAATTTAATCAAGCATATCGCTGTTCATGTGATCCTAATTATCTTTCCTTTTGGAGCACTTCCATTAATACACAAGCTGGTGTTGGTCTTTTAGTTAAATATAATTAGGCCAAGTATATTCAACATTCTTTTTTATTGAATGACAGATTCATTTTTCTAGATCCTTTCTTACCTAGCCATACTAAATTTAGAGTTTCTAATATCTACCTATATGTCTCTATAACTGCTAATGATCGATCTGCATGACTTCAATTGCACAAACTTATTCTTGATCACATCAAAGATGGATTAAAAAACAATTTCAAAATAATAATCCTTGGTGACTTCAATGCTGCCTTAATAAATATTAGTCTTACATAGAAAATAGAACTACTCTCTTCTGGAAATATGAATTCTATGATAAACTCTTTGCCCTCAACTTCCTAGATTTATATGATGTCTGTTATGACTCACCCCAACCCAATCTAGAATTGATACTATTTTTGCTTCATCTAACCTAATTTCTGACTTTCTTTATTCTAATATTGAATCACCAGAACTCTACTCCTCTGACCACAAAATTGTTTATACTCACTTTGCTAATATCAAAAGACTCAGCTCAGCTCGATCAAGATTGAATCAAATAAGCGTTAAGTTTCTAACCATAGAGCTATGAATTTAATCAAATGGAACAAATTTACATATGACACAGATTTTCTTTACAATAATCAAAACCTCTAATGACTCAAAGATCTTTTACCTTCACTCTCGAATATGAATCGTTTATGGACTGAAATCAAAACTGTTACTTTGACAACTAACAGAAAATGTATACCGCAACTTTGAATCTTCCTAGTAGATAAAAATGCTCCATTTTATGAATCATCTGATGCCACAGTCATTATAAAACAAATCAACTCTATCCTTGTCAAATTTAGAAATAAATTTATCCCACATTAACAATAGCCAAAAGATAAATGTTAGACTAACATCATCAGTATTATGTCAAAGATCACAAAAAAATTTGATCTTCTTTCATTTGATTTTCCTGCATCCATTGATTAATCTAACATTATTGCCATTAAAGCATATCTAAAAGATACACACAAGATTCTCTTAGTTATGCTAAAATATAATTGCAAAAATTAAAAGAATTATCTATTAAACAATGTATTGATCAAAGATGTGATAATCTATCCACTAACCCTTCCAAAATGATCGATTCAATTTTAAATAGAAAGAAAATATCAATTATTATGGATAAACTCTTGATTGACATTCCTAATTCCAATGATAAATACTTTTCCATTATCCTACTGAGATTAAAAATGCAGCTATCAATCACTTTCAAAACTATGCCCTACAAACCAAAGCTGAACGTCTTCTCAATACCAGATGGATAAACTAATATCAACCACAAGATCACATTGATTCTAATTTATATAATAACCTAATGCATATGACAAATGGATTTCAACTTTAAGTAGTTTCCCTAATAACAAAGCCGTAAACCTATCAGGAATTTCCAATAAAATGATGTCCTATCTAGGAAGTTGTCTTTAACATTTACTTTGATAATTAATTTATATGTGTTTTATATTTAGTGAAATTCCTAATGAATGAAAGATAGCACATATCTACCCTAT